ACTTGCGAAAGAGTTTAAACAATATCCCAAGCAACCCCGACCACCTATGTCTCTCTCGCAGCGCGGAGAAGCAGGAACCACACCTTATCACAAGGGGCCATCTGGAGCTAGCCAGACGGTTTAATGAGAAAACACACACAACAGCCAGCGAACACGTTTTTAAGTTAAAGAAGTGGCTACACATCAGTCACACATAAAATTAAGAATAATGTGTTGACCTTACACGACATTCCATGATAGAACCTTACAGAACCAAGGCATATGGATTCCAACAATCAAGAAACGGACCTCTTAAAACTCAGGATGAAAATTATTTTTCTTTTTAATAATTCCATCATAACAATGCGAACCTCGGTAAACCGAGAGGGGTGTCGGGAGGACGTAGTTACAAACACGAGTCTTGGCGAACATGGGACCAAATGGTATTTGAGAAATATAAAGTCGAAAGTATAAAGAGATAGGTACTCCCGACCACCTTTGTCTCTCCCGCAGAGCGCGAGAGAGGAATTTCACGCCAGGGCAAACAGATCGTTATCGCAGGAACCATTTGCCACACACGGGACTTAATAGTGGCCCCACCCTACCCTGCACACGGGCAGCAAAAGAGCGAGCGAGCTTTAAGTTAAATAAACCGCCACACATTTATATATGATAAGACACACAGAGTGACGAAAATTAATAAACTAAGTAAGAGCCAAGGTAACGGGGTGGATTAGGCTGGTAGAATGTGGAGTCGAAATGATATTTGAGCGATGTCAACTCAAAGTATAGAGAGATAGAAACCCCGACCACCTTTGTCTCTCCCCGCAGCACGTGATAAGAATATATACTCGAGAGAACATCTTCACTTGGAAATAAATCAAATACTATGAATCGCAAGTAGGATCATAACTGCGTATGATAAGATACCAACTGTGATGTGAAATGTTAAACTTGAAAAATCTTAACCATTTCTTTGTGCGTCAGAAACGTGTACGAAAAATGGGGGGGGGGGGAACACGCCCCTCTCTCTGGATGAACAGCGTCGACAGACAGACGCCTTCGAGATGAATCGAAGCGTCTGTTTCCTTGATGGTTTATGGCTTGAGGAAGACCCGAACAGAACCATGTCATAATTGCCAAACACACGCACAGACCACCCCCCCCCCCCCCCCTTCACTGCACAGAGAGAAGAATGTCTTTGAATATAACGGTCAGCGCATTTTCAAAAAGTTCAGTTAAGTCAGTCAAGACAGATCAGCGATTCAAGACGTCCACAGGACGAGCAGTCGCATGGAGCGGCTGGCTCCGAGCCTCGCTGAGTAGCGAGGATCGCTGAGTCGCGATGTATCAACAAAAGTGAGTCATACAGCAGTGGAGGAAACCTGCTGTCAGCGAACCAGCACGGGCGCGTTCGCGCATCTTCAAGGAGAAAGAGCGCGGCCAGCAACGCCAAGCAAGAGCGTGCAGCAGCTCAGCCAGCAGTGGAGAGAAACTGCTGTAGGCGAACCAGCACGGGCGCGTTCGCGCATCTTCAAGGAGAGGGAGCGCGCGCCAACAGCGTGCCATCAGCACCAGCATCAGAACCAGCGCGTGCCAACAGCGTGCCACCAGCGTGCCACAGCGCGCAACTTCGCGTCACCAGCGCTGAGAGGGCAGCGGCCCCGCACTCAACACCCATCGGCGCGACGACGGCGAGCGTCGTGCTGACTCATCCAGCCAGCGGTGGACAGAAACTGTGACAAGCTGTTCGTATGCAACCCCTCCCCCACACTCTCCCCCTCACTCCCCCATCGCGCCGCAACACACAGGAAACACATTTTGGACACCAGAGATGCTAACCTCAGCGTCTGCTTTACGCAAAGAATTGAACCAGTGATAAAGAAGACACACGATACGCATATCGGGATAATCAAGAAGGGTTGCCACTCCAAGGTGGTGCATTAAAAATCTATTCATAATGAAAAATACTGCTATCATTGAGTTGCATAATAACGAATCGTCCTTCTGTTAACAACGTGATAAGAATTGACTTGAAGGTCTATGAATGGATGTGGTACTGTGTGGGCAATGTTTAAACACGAATTTACATATTATAAGGTTAAGGTTTTGATAGAATAGTTGCATGTTTTAATCTCTCTCAACAACCGATCGATTGCGTTACGCGTCGGGAATTAACCACAGGTGCCGTTATCAAAGTGAAACAACGCAATCGTGATGGTATCATATTAACGCTGTGTTGAAATTCCAAAATCCCGAGATTGAGTTTTCATATTATCCAAAAATTAAAGTTAGCTAGAAAATAAAATTGATTAAAGCAGAAGGTTTGTGTGTGATTCTTCCTGAAATTCTGCGTAATATTGTTCTGCGTATGAGATCTGAATCCTGGGGACCTATCATAAGCACACTATCACCACACATAATCCACTGCATACGATTAATTGCGTTGTTCCAATTAATAACCAACCTTCGTCACCGAGGCTCGACCTGATATTCCATATCGACCTACATTATCATAACCACGCCCACTCGCATAAATTAATACGATTATCTCTCGAATCAGCATAATTTATGTGCATATTACACTAATTAACATAATTTCGGATAAATTATGAAGATTTAAAATTTCATTCAATTTTCATTATTTTAATCAATTTTCATAACACCTATATATATACAACAGTGTGAGTGTAGTGTGTGTGGGTGAGGTGGGTGTGTGGTGTGTGTGTGGGGTGTGTGCGCGGGGCGTGTGGGGCGTGCGCATGGGGCGTGTGGGGTGTGTGGAGTGTGTGAGGTGTGTGCGTGGGGCGTGTGCGCGGGGCGTGTGCGCGGGGCGTGTGCATGGAGTTTGTGCGCGGGGTGTGTGGGGTGTGTGGGGCGTGTGGGGCGTGTTCGTGTGGGGTGTGGGGCGTGCATGGGGTGTGTGCGTGCGTGGTGTGCGCAGGGTGTGTGCGTGTGGGGCGTGCATGGGGTGTGTGCGCAGGGTGTGCGTGGGGCGTGCGGGACGTGTGTGGGTGTGGGGTGTGTGTGCGTGGTGTGTGTGTGCGTGGTGTGTGTGTGCGTGGTGTGTGTAGAGGTGGTCTGGTAGGCGGTTCCAGGATGGCCACGTCTTGGGGTCCAGGGTCAGGTGTCCGCCTCCTCCACTCCGGTTGACGTCATCCCCCAGTGACGTCACCTGTATTGGGCACAAACCCAGGCGAGGCAAGGTTTATCAAGGGCCAGAGCACCCGAGACGAAGCAAGGTGTGTCGCTCGTGTGCCCTGTGCTTTGACCCCACTGACCCGAGCTTGATTCCCGCTCACGGCCAACACTGGTGACGATTATGTGAACTGGTCGTGGGCCTCCCCTAGATCAACTCAGCCTTATACAAGCACCCGATGAAATGTATGATAATTGTGGTGGCGGCCACCCACCTTGTGACGTGCCGTGCCAGCCTTCATAGGTGCTCTCTCACAGCACTTGCCCCCATCAATCTGTTAATTCTAATATGGGAGATCTTTGTCTAGGTGCGAACCGGTTCTGTGATGGAGTCTTCATTCGTCCACACCGCAGCTGCAGCCGCAGCAGCAGCAGTTGCGGATGAAGCTGAAAAATGCCCGGAATATCTTTCGCACGCCGGCAAATCCCCGCACACGTCTCCTTCCTGACATCCTTCTTGAAATGCCGGTGACTTCTTTCTCCTTCTCATCATTGCCGTCATCTTTCTTGCTGGGAGAGAGTGTGGGAGCCAGCCTGGAAGAGAGACACGCGTTTGATCGTCATGCCTCGTCCGCCTGTCACACATTCCTAGGTGTGCTTGCCTACTGCAGGGCGATCCAGTGTCTCGTGACCCCCCATTTAATCACCAAAGATTCATCGTTTTGCCATACCAATGGGTGTGAAGACATAAATGAATAATTACTGCTCAACTAATTGGGGTTCACAAGACACCTGGGCCACCCTGTGCAATGCAACTCGACGGTCAAAGCATTTCCACGCTGAAAACGAGCAGCAGGGCCAGTGGTGAAAACTGAACATTCGCAGGACAGGGGCCAATCTATGTTGGAGGACCAATGTCGCAGTTTACAATTTGGAATCACGTCAGCAGAAAATTGCGGTCGTGTCTCAAGATGCCGCATGAAACGGAGGGACCAGGGAGTGGAGCACTTACGAGAGAACCAACGGGCTGGATGGAGCACATTCAAAATTTGGGATTTATATTTTTCCACAATATAAAACAAAAGGCTGATAGGGATTAGATATTGGCCATTTGAGATGTATTGCTACATGAGGAATACTGGCACCCAAAGTGGACTAAAAAGAGTGACCAACGTCGAAGTAACGAAAAAAAGGTTGCACGTGGAAGAAGTCCTCGTGAAGCAGGCATTGGTGAGAAGGAAGCTGGCACGATTTGGACACGTTTAGCATAGGCAACAGGCAAATCAAAAGCGTGTTGTTTGGGAAAATGGAAGGAACTGAAAAGAGACCTAACAGAGAATGGCTTTGGTGCCAGAAAGAGATGCGCTGCTTGAGCATATTGGCACGAGACAGAGGAAAGTTGAAACAAGTGGTGAAATGTGAAGTGGACACCTACAGGCTATCTACCCATGGTTCGTGCTGATGATAATAAATAAAATGGATGATGGGGGTGATGAAATATTTACCGAAATATCCTCTGGATAATTGTGTAGGTAACATTTTTGTTAATTTTCATAAAAATGTTAGCTTATACCAATATAGGACCCCTAAAATACAGAATCCTAATGTTTATCATTTCCAAAACAGATATTTTGTCTTTTCGGATACAGAATGTTTATCTTGGTGGTGGTAGTTTGACTGAAAGATGTATGTGTATTACCCATACATCATGGACTGTATTATCACTTCGTGGGAAATCAGCAGTGGATGTTTTAAGGAGATATAGGTACAGTAAAACCTTGGATTGCGAGCATAATTCGTTCCAGAGACGTGCTTGTAATCCAAAGCACTCGTATATCAAAGCACTCGTATATCAGTTGTGATCACGTGACGCTCGGCAGACAAAGCGTATACGTACTACTACTCGTATTGCAAGACCTCGCTCGTTTATCAAATTAATATTCACTTTAAAAGTTTTGCTCGTCTTGTAATACACTCGCAGACCAAGTCACTCGCAATCCAAGGTTTTACTGTACGTGGAATTTCCACCAGTGGGTTAGGCTTAATGACGGAGGTGAAAATTGCCTAATGCTCATTTAAACAGGTACACACTTGGTTGTGGCTTAACGATAGCACAACCAACAAAAACATCCTTAATCATGCGCTTGCATGGGGAGACTCACTGTTGGCTCCTGACTGTCACAAATTCTTCAACACTGCATCCCTCGGGAGGCACGGATTCCGGGATCCCATGGGACTGAGAGTTGTCGTCCGACAGTTGTGACTCTGCTGGGGCTGGGTCCGCGTTGAGTGCCTGTGGGTCCGCGTTGAGTGCCTGTGGGTCTGCGTTGAGTGCCTGTGGGTCCGCGTTGAGTGCCTGTGGGTCCGCGTTGAGTGCCTGTGGGTCCGCGTTGAGTGCCTGTGGGTCTGCGTTGAGTGCCTGTGGGTCTGCGTTGAGTGCCTGTGGGTCCGCGTTGAGTGCCTGTGGGCCCGCGTTGAGTGCCTGTGGGTCCGCGTTGAGTGCCTGTGGGGCCGCTGCCTGGCCAAGGGGAACGTCGACGCTTGGCACTGCAGCGCTGCCCTGCGCCTTCTCGCTGCCCCTCACCCAGTCGTGCTCCAAGGCCTGCTCCGGTGTGAGCCGGAGTGCGGGGTCCCACCTGCCAACATGCACGCGGGGGATCGTCAGGGCCCCGTTGTCCACATTTATTCTGCTCATGAGGAGGGGGTTGAGGCACACCCAATGAATTGCCAACCGTATCCTCCGTAGCATGCGTGTACAGTGTGTTCTCCAATAATGCGGCAGCTGCGTTCCTGAAGAACACCGTATTATGGAAACAAATCGCGCTGCTATAAATAATGTAGGTGAAAGCAAAGTCCGCGATAACGCATTAGATGCGTACGCAGGCTGAACAACGACCGAGGCATGTGGGCAGCATTTAGAAGCATCCAGCAGCATCCCGCCTTTCGTGACGCTACGCCGAGGCAGCCGTACAACCACTGATTCCTATTAGCGTGACGTATCTCGGTTCACTCAGTCGCGTTATATCCGATTCGCATCGGCGTTGTAAAAATAAAGCGTTCCCAAATACATCCGTCACGTAATATCCAATTCGCGTTGCGAAAACACGTGTTATAGGAGAACAAACTTCATGTCGGACTTCTTTAGAACCGTACGCAGCCAACCGCGCTAATCGGGAGGTGTGGGGGACGGACAACAATCTAAACACGAAGGCAATTCTAAAGAAATGGGTTTTAAATCAACATTTCAAAGTGCACAGCTCCAATGGCTTCACGATAATTGGGCTAATTAATTTTAAGAAATGTACAAAAGCGAGAAACGTTGCTCTGATATGACAAAGTGCGCAACAGGTGATAGTAAAGTTTCATGGAGTTGGGGCTCTTACTCAAGGCAGCCGCGAAGGAAGTTGAGTAACTCCTTGTCATAAGTATCCAGCAGCGACTCCAGGGGTAAACTGCTCGGGACAATGACCTTGCCGTTGACAATTGGGCACCCATTCTTGTCTGTGTTTGTGAGGGAGAGAGGAAAAAAAAGAAGCAAGCGTTGGACGTAAACTGTTGTGGACGATTTACGAGAGTGCAAAGACTGACGGAGGTCAGATATTGTACGCTCGAAATGTATTGCTCCAGGATTACTGCTGCATCGAAGCTTGACCCAAAGAGTGACCAACGTCAGGGGCAGAGTCACAGGGGGGGCTGGGGGGGGGCTCAGCCCCCCCTGAAATTTTGGGAAAGTCAATAATAGGGATAACCGGATATCCGGCTGCTGCAAAATGCTGCAGGCTGCCCCCTTGTGCTGCCCTGCAGGCTGCCACCTTGTGCTGCCCTGCAGGCTGCTTAAGCGGCAGCCTTTTGAACTTATCGAACTTATTAGCCACATCAACGGCTCCCACCTATTAATAAACTCCGCGTTCAAATCCAATAAAATTAGTTGTATAAATTTGTGGCGCCCATTGGAAAACATAAACGCTGGATATCTCAGAATACTGAAGTGAGCCCCCCTCAAAGTCAAAATCCTGGCTCCGCCCCTGACCAACGTAGAAGCAAAGACAGAAGGTTGCACGTAAAACAATTAACGTGATGATGCAGGCAGTGATGAGAATGAAATGGCACTATTTGTCCACACACACGCGTGTAGTAGTAGGATGGAGACACAAATAAGTAACAAAAAATAAAAGTGTTTTTTTCGGGAAAAATTAACGGAACTGGAAAAAATGAAGAAGACCTGCCCAAGAATGGCTTGACGATGGCATCAGTGATTGGTGTCAAAAAGATGTAGCCACTATATTCTTTTGGTTCTTTCTCTCTCCCCATTCGCCCCCCCCCCTCTCTGAGTTATTTAACTGCCCTAACTCTGGCTTCTCTCCCACTTCAGTAAAAACATATTTATTGCTGTGGTTGTCACGCCTGATGACGATTGCTTGTGTTGCAATCTAAACGTCGTGATTTAATCAATTAATTAATATTTTTGTATTGCTTTTTTCCACACCTACGTGACTTTACCGAAAGAACCAAAAGCATGCGTCCCTGCAGTCGCGAAAACTTCAAATCTAGATTGATGTGGCCACTGCTTGAGAATATTGGCACGAGACAGAGGAAAGTGGAGACATGCCAAAACATGCAGTGGACACCTACGGGCTATGTACCCGTGGATCGTGGTGATGATGGTGATGACGAGTACATTACAGGGACGCTCGTCTGACAAATGTGACGTCAAAAAATAGCAACCAGCGTTCACTCGACTCACCCATGGTAATGGTCCAGTTGAAATCTGTCAAGATCATTGACATTGGTGGGAGACCCAAGATCTGCGAACATTTGAGATTGCATTCATGAGCTAATTTGACTGCGAGCACAGTTTACATGCAGTATAACTTTTAACATCTACAGTATGAATTGAATGTATTTTGCACAATTACTGCACGTGCTTTTGCTTATCTTAATATTTAAATATGAATTATATGAAAATCAACAAATATCGCCTTCATAACATGGGTCTGTCACAGTGGCAGTCTGTCTGGCATGGTCAGTAAACCCCCAATGTAAACCCCCAATGGTAGCTATTCACATGAAGACGTCCATTCTACATATGTATATTCTACATATATGTATTGGCATCCGGGCACCGTTTTTTTTAAACCAAGGCATGAGTCCAGAGGATGAAGACAGCTCCATGGAATTCCATGAATCGTACATTTAAGTCCGTAACATTCTGTATGCCATTATTAACGAATTCGAGGATATAAGCTATGCCCTGCATTGCAACTAATTCATAACGAATGCGCTTAGAATTTCCTGTTTCAGGCACCTTGATGGCTCGGCCAAGGAAATCCTTGTAGTTGCCGATGAAGAGTCTGCAGCCGAGGAGAATCTCTACAATCACGCAGCCCAGGGACCACATGTCTGCTGCGCATGTCACGAAAGGCAGCAGGAGCGTCTCAGGCGCCATGTATGGCCATGTTCCACAGGGTCCGGTAACTGCTCACCACACGCACATATCGGCGCATTTAAGCACAGGGCATGGCTGGCTATGTGGGCCATGAAAGACGTTCCACATACAAAGTGCAATACGAGAGTACACCCCGACGGTCGCCCATCGGTGGGATAGGCTCCGCCGCTTCAGCCATTAGCCAATCAGGTGGATGGGATCATCTGGGCCATAGTTCATAGGCGGAGCTCAAGGGTGCTCGTGGGGAACCATCTGGAGGGTTCGTAAGGTGGGGGGGGGGGAGGGGGGCGTGGCTAGAGGTGGGGCTTGGTGACGCGGGAGAGGGGTTATAAGGCGGAAGCAGGAAGAGGCTCGGGGTCAGTGTGGGCAGTCTGGAAGCAGGGCGACGTCTCGCGCCTCCGGAACGTCGGCGGTCCCGAGGCGGTCCCGGGGCCGCCTCTTCGCGCGCCGTCTGCCAGCGGGGAGCGGGGAGCGAGCCGTGCGCGGGACAGCAACAACTCACACCGCGTGATAGGCGGAGCGAGCGGCGCTTACGTGGGAAGGAATGCGGAGCTGTCCTAGCCGTCAAAGAAATAAATAATAATAATAATAAAGAAGAAGACACAAGTCCAGTGTCGTCGTCGAAGTGTTTTAATGCACACACGTTCATTTCATTCTATTTACCGGTCAAGTGGTGCCGCGATAGAGCGCTCGACTCACAGATTGCAAAGTTGTAAATTGAAATCCTGATTAGGAGGCGATAAAGTTAAACACCTGAATAAGTGGTTTAAAGTGGTTGCACCATGGGGAAGTGGAATTTCCCCCATTGTCTCAGAGCCGCCAATACATGAATGCCACTCTTTGAGATGCTTTGTCTCGCTAGGTTAAGTGAGGACCTACAAATGCACGCGTGACAGCTACATTTGCACCCACTTATGCTCTTTTAGGCTACGTTTCGATGCGGCAGACCCTGGCCCTGTTTAAATACCAACTGCCAGTGCAAAATAGGCTTTTTTGGGGTTACATCGCGTAAGTATAAATGTGTCGTTAAACCCGCCACCTCCAAACACAGCCAATTCGTAAGGTTTGTCAAATAAACAAAACATGCCAATTCAGTGTTTTGCACGGTTGGGAATTGAAAACGTGTTACAGGGAGTGTAGTGTAGTAGAGTCCTAATCACTATTCCACTACTCCAAAGACAAATATTCCCCGTATAGCCTTAACAGGCTGTCGGGGCAAGTGCTGCTAACGAGCACTTATTCAGGCCGGCACGGCAACACAGGAGAGAGGGTGGCCAGCATCATGTCCAGCCGCCTTTGTCTACCCAGTGGCGATGTTTACAAACTGCAAGAGGTACTAATTTGAGGCTGAGTCGACCTAGAGGACGCCCAGGACCGGATCAGGCAATCGTCACTGGTGTTGGTCGTGAGCGAGAATCGAACCCCGTATGCCGAGTTTGAAGCACAGCACGCTAGCCACTACCCTTCCACTCCGCACAAAGACAAAGATCCCCCATATAGCCTGTAACAGACTGTTGGGGCAAGTGCTGTCAGCGAGCACCAATGAAGGCTGGAATGGCACGAAAAGGACGGGTGGCCAGCACCACGGGAATCGAACTCCGTACGTCAGGTTCATAGCGCAGCGATCTAACCACGACACGACCTCTCCCTACACTATTAACTCCACAGACACACCCAGACACAGGGGAAATCACTTACATGACCTTGTAACTTTGGCACTGACGCCAAAATCAGTGATTCTGATGTTGCCGGTTTTATGGTTTTTGACAAGGATGTTTTCCTGGAAAGAAAAGAAGTTGTGGCTCTTGTCAGAGGTGCTTGATGTGTACAACTTTGAAGCATACAGGACGCAAGGTAACACCTACAATTTGCATATCGGTTGAAGGTCGTTCACTCATTCATTTATACCTTAAAAATGTGTCGTTAACGTTGACATTTGTAATTATAGCTGCATCAGTGTTGTCACAATTATTATGAATGTGAATTCGAATATTTAGCAAATAATATGCGGTTCGCTCTCAAGAAAGCAGAGATACGCAATGCCCTGCGTTTAAGCAAGCCTCAGCCAAATATTTAGTGCATTTCTGAATTAGTAAATAGCATGCATTTCAAGAGTAGCACAACAAAGAGTCGCGTGGTCTTTGACTTCTATTTTATGAGTCGCGAGAGTTCGTCCTGACAACCAGTTGGCTCAATGCAATAATACAGAAGGACTGAATGAATGATGCATTTCGGATATTTTGCGTTCACTCACCGGCTTCAGGTCCCCGTGCAAGATGGACTCCTGCTTGAGCTTGACAAGAGCCTTCAGCATGGCCTGAGTGTAGAGCCTGACTCTTGAAAGGGGAAAGTGCTTGGCAATCCTGAGCTGCTTTCTCAGGTCTTGACTACAACAAAAAAAACAGGACATCGTGAATGGTCACTGTAGGTATTTTCCACGTGATCAATGCTTTGGATTGCTTCAATGCGGTTAAGGCTTCTGCTCACGTAAAAAAAAGGCAATTCTCAACTCTGCCAGGGGAATGATGATTAAACATGACCTGCTCATTGGGTTCAGATAAATATAATGGAGCCCCTTGCGACGGTTTGCTGTTCCACATGGTGCATGAATCCTGCTGACGGGCGGGATAGGGCCTTGTGGTAGCTATCAGCTTCATGTGCAGCTTATGTCAGTTCGCAGTTTATTTTATTTCCAATTATTATGCAAACATCTCATGTTAATTGGCTGGGGTTTTTTTGCACAATTGTGCCACTCAGCTCAAATGTATCCAGTAAGGCCCAGGGAGCAATTGTAAACAGTTGTGTATAATATTTATATTTGGAGTTTGAAAGTTTGTCTCCCCTCGTGGTCGCGTGGACATTTTCTTCTGGCTCCTCTCGTTTTTCCCCTCCACATTTAGAAACATGAATTGAGATTAAATGTTGATTTAAAGCTTTCGTGACTGCAGGGATTAATATTCTTGGTTATTTCGGTAAAGTCACCACGTAGAAGGGAAACAATAAAATAATAAAAACACATTTATAAAGAATATATTTTTATTATTTTATTGTTTCTTGGTTCTTTTGGTAAAGTCACGTAGAAGGGCAACAATAAAATAATAAAAATATATTTTATATTTTTTGTTTATAAAAATATATTTTTATTATTTTATTGTTTCCCTTCTACGTGACTTTACCGAAAGAACCAAGAATATTAATTGAGATTATTTATATTATTTTGCTGTGATAAATTCCCAAATGATAAGCCACTTTGTTGTGTGATAATTTGTGGCCAGGTTGCTTCTGAAAAAAAAAAGTTAATACTTCAGTAGGCTTTGCCTGGTAGAATGGGGATGGTTTCGTTTTATTTGTATGTGTTTGGGTGATTTTTTATTACATTCATGGCACTTTGCAATACTAGCATGTTTTTGTATTGTTTGTTGTTGTAACGTTCTTACCCGCCCCTACTGGATATATCAGTGACAAAGAACGTTATAGCTCATCGCATTCCTCCAGCGTAAATGCATAATGTAATTCTAATGTGCGTATTTAAAAAGCCATGAGTGTATTTTTTTTTACATGTTAAAAAAGTACCGATATAGCCTTAAAATAAATTGTTAATGCATGCTAACATTTTGATGTAAAGCTTTCGTGACTGCAGTAATTCATATTCTTAGCTCTTTCGGTAAAGTCACGTTGAAGGGAAACAATAAAATAATAAAATATATAAAACAATATTGTTTCCCTTCAACGTGACTCTACCGAAAGAGCTAAGAATATATGCATGCCAACATCTCAATAACCTTGTACGCCACATAAAAAAACAGAGAATCCTGTGCGAATAGACTAATGTGATGGCGTTGCAGAGATGCGATTTCTTCTCACCCGACAAACTCCAAGACCATCGTAAAATGTCCCCTGAACATGAAGGATTCGTGGAGTCTGATGATGTGGTTGTTTTCTAGATCCGTGGAATCCAGGGCCAGAATTATTTCCGGCTCTTTTTCCACGTCCGTTTGCCAGGTGCTGTGGGAGAAATAAAAAAAAAATAGTCAACAAAAATTAAATATGATACTGCATTGGCAGTAGCGCACAAGGTAAAAAAAAACAACTCAACAAATTCATTAGTAACACTGACGGAACCTTTTTTGGCAATGGTCCGCCTTTTTCTGACCTCTTCTTTGTTATGGAGAGAAACCGTGAACCCATCTCGCCACACTCTTGTTATTGCACGCTTAAGAGGCATGAGGATGTACAAAAACTAGGATGACACCACCAGCAGAGCCCCCGAAGACAAGGCTATATGCTCTAATCCCGATTTGTTCTGCTTTCATGGAAAGTAACACTTGTTAATCATCTCAAAAGTTTTTGTTTGATCTTCGAGACAGTCTGGTCCCTTCACCTGATGAAGGCCGCTTGTACTGTGGCCGAAACGTCGTGATTTTTGTTGTTTTTTTGTTGTTTTATTTTTTACCTACGTGACTTTACCCAATAGAACCAAAGAGTATGGATCCTTGCAGTCACGCAAGCTTCAAATCTAGAATCAAATCTAGAATCTCACAAGTTGTGTTCTAGGCACATATCCAGATATAAATGTGGCTATTTCCATCGTGCAATCTCACCGTATGCAGTGCTGCAGCATTTTCAAGGCCACTTTTTCTTTGGTCTTGTGGTCCATGCAAAGCAGCACCTGGCCAAAACGCCCTCTGCCAAGTACCTTTAGTATCTGGTAACGGTACGCCAGGTGGTCGTTCTTTTTCTGCGACAAAATAACAGAAGATTTCATTATTCAATGCGCCCTTATTCAGTCATCAATCATTACTCAGTCTTAAAGCGTCGCTCAATCAGTGCCCATTTAGTTATTGTTTTTTAAAATGTTTTGTATCCAAACCGATAGAACAATGTCTGTGATGCTTGTGATGTATTTGCCAGATGCCTCATAGCCCACACTGGACACCACTTGATCATGCTATGTAAAATGTGTCATAGACGGTCTCTCATCTCATGTGCGTATAAGTATTCGCTCAGAGATTGGCAGAACGACATTAATTGTGTGTGTTCATCGGTATCCAGCTGAAGCCAACAACTCCATACGAA